TGTGGTATCATCAAGTCTATGTGATGATTAGTTTTATTGAAATAGAATAATGCAACGAAGGACTGAGAGAGGACGACTCGTCAGGAAACTACCAAGGAAAGACTGACCAGCAACAAGAGACATGCAATGTCGATTATGGGCACGGAGTACACACATGCATGCATAGTATGAGTACTGTAAATATACAAATTTTCGGCAGCTATTTAATTTCGGCTATATTCGGCACCGACCCAAAACGCCGAAATTAAAATGCCGATGAAATTTTTCACAGTATCTGTCGCACTATACCATGCCCTCTACCCCACGCCGAAAATAAATCGCCACCGAAATGTCAAAAATCGTGGAGTGCCGAAATTTTGCAGCGCCGAAATTTTGTATATTTACAGTAGTATGAGGTTGTACGCACGTCCATGCAAGAAGATGCAGTAGCATAATAAGAAACATGAGAGTGCAAATATGTACGATGTACACGGGTACACCACAGTAGGTGGGTACATCACGATGGTATTCGCGTGGTTTGGTACAACTTGTACAAATTTATAGGCAACTCTTGAACCTTTGTACAGCGCAAAGTTGAGCCAAGCTCAACTTCTGCGATGGCCCAGTTGCGGCAGTTGGGAGGGTGTGTCTTTATTCGCGAATTGTCGCTATTATCCTCAGTCGTTACTAGCGAAGTTGACTCTATGCTATTCATTGCGATTCTTAGCTAACCATTACCATACCGTAATTCCGCGCATATACCGGTAAGCCCATGGGCTTATATGTGAAATAATGCAGTTTGGGGATAAAATATCCAGTAGAACATGTTCGTTTTTTTAGCCCACGGGCCAATATTAGAATTTAGAAGGATCACGAAAAAGTACCAGTCCGTGGCCATACCGGTAGTGGGTCTACCATACTCTACTGGTAAACTGCACTGACATGAAGAGTCCATATTGTGAAAAATTCTACTTGACACGCGAGCTGCATTTGTGTCTGTTTATTAGCCCATGGGTTTATAAACGGAGGTGGGCTTATATCCGGATATAGGCCCGTGGGCTTATATGCGTGGAATTACGGTAATCATAACCCTGTGAAGTATTAAAGGGGAACTACACCCAAAAATCAAAACTTCATGGTCCGTAGAGTTTTGGACGCTGAGTCGAATGGTGAAGGTCCCACTTCGATCCGACCAAGCGTTTTTGAGATATATCAGTTTGCAATTGTCCTTTTCGGGTCCGTGCCGTGACGTCACAAACCCGTGACGTCATTGAGACTTGGTGATCCTTTGGCCAGATCCAGAAACACTGGGATTTCGCATCTTCTTTCTGTTTGTCCATGGAAGAAGAGGGTATTTGTGTCATCATGGCTTCTGGCTGTGTTGTTGGCTACTATAATCTTACTGGTAACCCCCCTGGGATGAACCTGCACTAATTTCCGAAGGATTGTGCTTGGCACAGGCCGAGCAGTGCACCATAGCAGCTATCAAGCGACATAATTATTTGCTTGACAATTTCGGGACTACAATGTAAATCCTTCGCGTGTGTTCCAGCCATTTGGCAGAGGAGGATTTTCAGGAGGAATATTATGCACTCATCCGATGCGGACGCTGGTGGATGAAACTGTGGTGTGTCCTTTTTCGCACGCCACACTGTGAAGCGTCAGTCGAAAAGCGGAGGTAAGTGCAATATTTCAAAAACACTAGCTACTGTATGTAGTTCTTTCTTTTCCAAAGCATTTGTAGAATTGTTTTGGACTACATCACTACGAAATGTGAAGCTTTCCGAAACCGGCTTGATGAGGTGGACGGCAGTAGATCTCCTGTTTCCCTAGGCTATACTGCGTGCGATCGATGAACCTGTCTGCGATTGCTGTTCTTGATTTTACAGGAAGAAGATCAAGATCGGCTGCACCATCGGTCGCAGTGACTCACTGTTGAGCTACGACCACTGCCACCGCCCCAAGGTTATAGGAAGGACTGTTTGCAGCGCCAGCGCCTCTAGCTGGCATGTTTTTTTCCTGTATGAACACTCAGTATGTACTGCTGATAAGGTACATCACGCAATGACCCGCAGTTCAAGGAGAGAAGATAGTCCACATACCGGCAACAGTGTACACCTATTCGGGAACTCGTTGGGTTTTCTCAGCATGGATGCAGATGAGAGCCAGACATTATTTTTATTATTGTGTGTATGCGTGCAAGCGCGCGAATGTGTGTGTGCGCGCGCACGCGCGTGAGTGTGCGCGCACGAGCGCGAGTGTGCGCGTGCGAGCGTGAGTGTGTGCGCGCGCCCGTGAGTGAGTGTGCGCGCACGTGAGTGTGTTTGCGCGCATGCGCGTGAGAGACAGACATTATTATTATTGTGTGTGGGGGTGCACGCGCGTGAGTGTGTGTGTTTGCGCGCACGCGCGTGAGAGACAGACATTATTATTGTGTGTGTGGGTGCACGCGCGTGAGTGTGTGTGTGCGCGCGCACGCGCGTGACACTGAGTGTGTGTGCGCTGCACGCGCGTGAGTGTGTGTGTTTGCGCGCACGCGCGTGAGAGACAGACATTATTATTGTGTGTGTGGGTGCACGCGCGTGAGTGTGTGTGTGCGCGCGCACGCGCGTGACACTGAGTGTGTGTGCGCGCACTTGCGTGAGTGTGCGTGCACATGCGTGTGCTTTTGTGAAATGTGATTATAACATTCCAAAGATATTCATGTCATCTATTCTGTGTTCTCCTTTATGTCATTCTCTCCCCCTTGCGGGAGGGACATGGAATGACAAGTAGTAGATGCATTGCCGTTAGTGATCCTGAGGAATGTGTGCGTGTGTAACCAAGTGCATGAGTGCGCGCATGTGTGCGTGCACGAGCATGTGCACAGGCACTTGTATGCTTATGCAGTCGTGTGCGCACGCGCTTGTGAAATTGCGTGTCTGCGTGCGTGAGCATGTGTGACTACTATACTATGTGCCCACCAAGGTGAGCACATGTGCGTGCGTGTGTGTGGGGCGCAGGCGGATATGTGCACACATTTTAGAATGATAATCAAGAAGGACAGAGCTGTTCCGGTAATGCAGTCATGAGACACCACAGTAGGGCAAAACGCACTCAATATGCTACTGTGCTGCTGCTGCTAGAGTGCACAGCGTAATTGTTGGTACACACAGCTACGTGAAATACAAGAGAACGTATCAGCATTCATTTCGCCACAATACGAATTGAGGTGCAGTCCACTTGTGTGAGATAAAGCACAAGTGAACCGATACACATTGCACGACTTGCACGGAGATAATACTAGCCATGTTACGCAGCAAACTCCATGTACAGGAGTACGAGTGAGGAGACTATTGCTCTGAGTACTGTGCGAATACAAAATTTCACACAATTTACGATATGAAGAGAACGATTCGATTTGTGAGCATTACGTAGGACTATACTGTGAAAACACTTACGGATTGTCAGGCTTGTCTGAGCTGCTTTGGCTGCCGCTTCATTTCGAAATAGCCCAGCCAACCGGTTGCTAGATGTTGCTGATGGAGAGCGACTTCTCCAATTGCAGTAATTTCTGCTTCATCCACATTTACAGTCCGAATGGAAGCCACCGCTTGCGCTGCCATATCCTTTCCTGAAAATTTCGGCTCGTGCCCGAAGCCAAACATTTTCAGCTCAGGCTCTGAGCTTTCAAGCTCGTCTGATACGCGTATACGTCGGAATCGCTCATGGTGAGGACGTCTTTGTCAGAACTATTCCTTTCACATACCAAAATACCTGTACTTCTGAGCTTGGCCCAAGCAAGCAAGTCTCAATGACGTAGAAGGGCGTGTTGGGGGTGTGTCGCGGCCGCATGACGTCATGGCGCGTCCCCCGAAAGTACAATTTGAACCGAAGATATCTCAGGAACGCTTGGTCGGATCGAAGTGGGACCTTCACCATTCGACTCAGCGTCCAAAACTCTACGGACCATGAAGTTTTGATTTTTGGGTGTAGTTCCCCTTTAAAGGGGAAGTTAAGGCAAAAATTAAAATTTCACCAGTTGTAGTCTTCGGGGTTCTGAGTCGAATGGTCTTGGTCCGAGAAAGCTGAGACCCTCCCTTCCTACTTGAATCCCAATCGAACTCGCGCACTTCCACCGAAACTGGGTGACTGCGCCCTACTAGATGGGGATTTGTATGCAAAATGTCACTAAAAGCGCCATTTCATTCTGATAAAAGCACGGGTGACCGCGATTGGCCCATATGTTGTAGTCTTTTGGACGCTGAGTCGACTGGTTTTGGTCCGAAAAGGCTGCGATGCAGCGTTCCTCCTTTATTCCCAATCGAACATGGTTGAAGAAGCGATCACGTGCTCCTGGGTGCCCAAATCACCTGGTCACCATGCCAGCAGGCGACAACTTTCACACCAAGGTTCAACTCGAGTTCAACTCCAGTGACAGGACTGCACCCAAAAAAGGTCAAACAGGCTAGTAAGTTGTACCCTGCAGGCACGGTGACCAGGTGACTGGTGTTCGCAGGAGCACGTGACCACTTGTTCGACCATGTTCGATTGAGAATAAAGGAGGAACGCTGCATCGCAGCCTTTTCGGACCAAAACCAGTCGACTCAGCGTCCAAAAGACTACAACATATGGGCCAATTGCGGTCATCCGTGCTTTTATAAGAACGAAATGGCGCCTTTAGTGACATTTTGCATACAAATCCCCATCTAGTAGGGCGCAGTCACCCAGTTTCGGTGGAAGTGCGCGAGTTCGATTGGGATTCAAGTAGGAAGGGAGCGTCTCAGCTTTCTCGGACCAAGACCATTCGACTCAGCACCCCGAAGACTACAACTGGTGAAATTTTAATTTTTGCCTTAACTTCCCCTTTAATGTAGTCCTGATGCGGGTAGAACGTAGAGAGTAAAATGTACGACCACACATTAAAATTAGAGACCAACACTATAGGCGATACATACTGTAGAGCCTTTTGAACTGTTAGCAAGTGCATGTATTCGTCATCCGTGCATGCTATTGTTTCTGGCATTTTGTGCCATTTCCAGTGGTTTGGACGACAATGATTTCACGGAGTTTCCACAGAAACTACTCTACAGCCTTCTTGATCTTCGAGTTTTGTGAGTATGTATTTTGGAATCCCGTAGTATCACGCTTGCTGCAGCCCGTATCAAACACATCATTAGAGCACTGAAGTCAGTACTGGCTGATAGTCGCCAACGCATGAAACTCTACTTAAAATGTCTTTGGTGAAGGCAGATTGCAGAGCACAGTCCACTACCCAAAAGGTCTTCACATATACCGTATTTCCTCGATTAATGGACCATGCTCGAATAATAGATCATGTTCAAATAGTAGACCCTCTTAGAGGCCTCATGGAAAAATAGTAGACCATGCCCGGATAAGAGACCCGGTCTCTTATTTGAGTTCATCGCTTTGCGCATGCGCACTAAGAAAGCACGGGTTGGATCAAAAAAGAACGCGATTTTAGGTGGCGCAACTACAATTTTTGTAGTGGCTAGTGCTTTCTTTCATTATTTGAGCACGGTCCACTATATTTTCATCGGCATGTGCCGATGAAAATATCGTGGACCGTGCTCAAATAATGGACCATGCCCAAATAAGAGACCGGGGGTCCAACCATCTTCAAAAAACAAAAAGACCGGGTCTATTAATCGAGGAAATGCGGTAATGGGTTTATTCAGTAGTGGACTCTCGTATAAAACATATTTAAAAAATTCCCTTTTACACGGAAGTGGGTATGACGTTGAGCTCGAGTCATAACTGCTCTGGAGCCGATGTTTTAAAAATGTTGCTGTTTATGTCTATGACCAGGTACGGACAGTGGGTTGGTCTAAGACCATTATTGAAATGAGAGGTACCTGGTAGGCATAGTTTGTTGGTATAAGACCATGACTTAGAAGATTGCGTGATTAAAACTTATTAAAGCATACGTCATTACAGAGAAGAAAAAGGACTAACTGGGAACTTTGTTTAGTAACTGGTGGTGTTAGTGGACATACTTGTAGTTCCTTAGGGCGCGTTCAGACTGGCGTGAATAGCCGCCGGAAATCTGCAGCGTAATCCCGGGAATCGCAATCACACTGCACGTGTATCCCGCTGGAATGGCCAGTACATGTGAAGCTTCGACATTTGAAAAATTTGAGTTGACTCAGTTTGAGTTGGATATCAAAATAAACTAATTCAGTCTATTGAGATACTGGATCATTGTGCTTTTGCTTGTGCTTGTCGACGGAAAGAATACTATGTCCGGAGTGTTTGGTGCTTGGGTGGCATTCATCCGCTCCGCGATCAGAGTATGCTTCTCGTTCGCAGTAACGTTTTGCCTGCAGAGCGGCCCGCAAAAATCACCACGTACAGCTCCATGAACTCCCTCTCCATTGCTGAGTCGAACAAAGATTTCGGCATGATGGGAGAAGTTGGCAGTCTAGAAGTCAAAACTTAAAAGCATGCAGTCAGACTGCAAGAGTAGAGGCTGAAATAAAACGAAAAGACGGAACATGTGCTGCAAGGATATCAAAAGCGCTCCGCGTTCCGCCGGAATCTGCATTCCACTGGCCTGCAGAGTGGTGGGAAACCTTTTCCGTGTTTACGCTGGCGGGAACGTCACGTGAGCGATTCACCTTGACAACTTTCACATTCCGCTTGTTTTTTTTTACGCCAGTCTGAACGCGCCCTAGTCCTTTTTTCTTTTCTATAAATCAAGCCTTGGCTCTCCATCCGAGGCCATAATTGTTTATGTAAAAATAGGGCGCCCGGTTATTTACCCTAAAATGAGGTACTATCAGTAATATCCCACTTTCGGGCTGGGGCATATGCCAGTCGTAGAATACCCGACGCACACTACTACGTTTGGTTACTGCACACTGTGCTCCATTTAAGTAAAGTAGTCACACTTCGCTCTTCAAAAATATCCTCAACCTTGGTTCTGTCCTAGATCGTATAATATACATGCGTTCATTGTTTCGTGCCGTCATCATGGATCAGCTTATGCGAAGGCTAGCCAAGCTTGCTTGGTGATGCCAACGCGGAAAAGCCTATTTTAAATAAAGTAGCCACACTTCCATTCAACTTGTTCACTTGATTACGACAATAAGACCATGTTCGTCTTTATTCTAGTAACCAGTCCATTTCGGAAAATGGTGGTCAAAATCTTTTGAAAAGGAAACAGCGTGACATTTGTAAAGTGAAATAAGAAATAGAGTGGGAGCAACGAGAGAATTGAATGGAAGGTGACTGTGTAAATCTAACCTAGGTGATGGATGATCCGATCGTGGGATAGAACTGTCTGTGCTGCTGTCTGTGTGTTTTCTGTGTGTTTGTGTCTCTGCGTATGCACTAATTTTCGGTATCACTTGCAGTGGTTGCCGTGTGAATAGGCTGACGTATTTGCCTCCGAACTTCTTCCTTAGAAATCGCAAGCTCGATGGAGTGTGAGTTGACAATGAACTCAAGACTCAGGAACTCAATACTTGCTTTAGGCGTCTCCATGGTTTGTTTTAGAACACAATGAATGCGTCTCATTACACGCTCTTGGTCTAGATTCAAAATTCTAGAATTTGAAATTCAGCTTTTACTTCGGAATGGCGGGTTTGGATTTTGGAGATTCTGACAAAGCAATCGAACCATGTATGCGTAGTAGGAACTTCTAGAATTGACGAAGCTGTGTGTAACCAAATATATGCGTTGAAAAGGACTAACGTATGGTCAACGAACAGCCAGGAATTGTTTTCCAGGAATATGTACCCATTGTTGCAAACACTTTAGCATTTCCGCTCATGATCTGTAACAAAAAAGTATAATTAGCTTGAGGACCCTTCTATCTCTCTAAATATTTCACAGAGAGAATTCCAAAACAATTCTCGGTCATTTGAAACTATGATTTTACAGAACAGCTTGGGAGCATCACCGGATATTATTGATCCCAAATGCTAACAGCAGACTTGACGGTGACTTTGTATTGTTTTAGTTGTGAATATTGTACTTACTATACATCTGTGCAGATGGATAGGGGGAAATCTTTTCAAAACGCTGCCGTTTAATCTCTTCACCGGATTGTCGATAACACATTTGTGAGTACTCTGGCCTACGTCAACGTCACTCAACACACAGAGAATGCATACCATTTTCCATAGAATTCGTGCATGTTAGAGAGGTTTATAGGCTGTGGCTATTTTATTTTTTACAGATTCTATACAGACCTGCATGTGAAGTCTCCAAACCTAATATTAACCTATCTAGTCGTTCAACCTGAGGATGTCCGCCCAGGATTGCCTGGCGAGTCCAAGAAAGAGGAAGCAATCTAGGAAGCTGTTGCTGGGTGCCATCGACTATGTACTGTTGCACTATGCATTGTTGCACAAACCTGCCAAGCAAGATAGCGCCACACACTGACTAGTCACCAGGCACTATCTGCTGCTGCTGATGCTGCTGGTGATGATGAAAGAGAAAGAGTTTCAAAATGCGACAATAATGAGAAATTACTTTTAAAAAAAGAGTGCAACAACAGCTACACAAAGGCACACAATGAAAAACAAATTCACGGTTCGCGTGAGACTCGACCAAAGGCCCAGTTTTCCGCATCCGCAGGAATGCCACCACCCTCTTAGTAATACACACGCACACGCAAACACCAAAACACACGCACACCAACACACATCTACACACACACACCTACACCGCCCTAACTTGCACACGGACACACACACACACATACACACACATACACACACACACATACACACACACATACACATACACACACATATACACCATGTACCATGTATACGCCCGTCGCAAGAGAAGCACGCAAATCTGCAAATGCACTGGATGTGCACCCACAGATTTTCTCTTATAGCAACGATAGCGAACAAGATCTGAATGAGACAGATCAAGACTAGCGCCAGATAACTGTCTAATCCACACAACTGGCGAAGCCATGTGAATCGACCACCAATGCACACCTGGTCTACACCACACGGAGCACATCGGCATAAAACGGCCAAGACAGTTACCTATGCACACCCTACACACACACACACACCATTGGACCATTGGACGCCCTTCGCCGAAGGCGATGATTGCGATTCTACAGCAGAAGCCATAGCAGCATGCTGGGCTTGCTCCACTCAACAACACACACACACACACACACACACACACACACACACACACACACACACACACACACACACACACACACACACACACACACACACATACACATACACACACACACACACACATACACATACACACACACACACACACACACGCACACACATACACCCCCCCCCCCACACACACACACACTCACACACACACACACATACACCCAACCACAACACCCTGACTCGCACACGCACAAATACACGAGCGCATGCATATACACACATACACACACATGCGCGCACACACGCATACTCAGGCATCTACACTCGTATTACAAATCTAAGTGCGCACAAAAATGCCCACAATCACGCGTCTAAACCCGTAGCGCTCATTGCTGTCTATGGTACTGGGGTGGCCAGCAGAAACTTGCGCTGGTGAGGGCATTTAGATACCAGCTCACTTCTCTTGTTTAGGGAGGTGGCCTTTGGAGCTTTCAGGATGTGGAACTTTTCGGTGAGACATAGTCCACATTTCTTGCTGATATTGCTGTAGGAAGGTGCTTTAGCCTTGATCTTTCATCTGATGTCGGCTGCGCGGTTCTCGTTTTTCAGGTCCCAGATTTGCTTGGACAACTTAGTTGATGCGCCGTACTTTTCATGGCAGTAGTCCGAAGAGTGCTTGTTATGGCGCTGCTTGAATGTGGTAGTTGTCATGCCGACGTAGGTCTTTACTTCGTTGGAGGTTACGAGCGCCTTGTACACGACGTCGGACGACTGGCAGTCACAGTTGAGGGGGCAGGATGCCTTGACCCGGCAGTTGCATGGCACAACTGGCGGTTGCGAGTGGAGTTTTGCAGCATTTTGTCCTTTGATAATCGGCGCTACGTTTTTCATATAGCTGTAGCTTGCGATAGTCGTGTTCTTGTTAGATACCTTGTGCAGTAACGACCCTTCAGGGAAGTGTTTCTTGATGAGGTATAGGAACATTGCGCCAACGTTGGTGTTGACCCTGGTACTGTAAGGCAGGTTAAACCAGATGACGTCTCGGCTGCGCCCTTTCTTCGCTCTTTTCTTCTTCTTGCTTGGTTCATCCTTGTATGTCATGGTTTTCGGGTGGCCGCTTGAGTCCAGTGCATCCTCGTATACAGATTTAGCATCGTTAAACACTTCCTCATTGCATGAGATACTTTGCAGCCTCTTGTTGTTACATATGGGTATTTTTCTCAGCACAGCTAGGTATTTTCCTTCACCAAACGTAATCGCATTGCTGCGTTCTTGCTGTAGATCATGAATGAGATGGTCGGCGTGTGTGGACCGCCATTTTACACACCATGTACAAACCTGCAGAGTCTTCCAAGTTCCAACCATTGTTCTATTTTGTGATGCTTTTTTTTATATCTCGTTCATCTCTGTATGTGCCTCTTGTATCGTTTGCACATGTACTCTATGCAGGCAGGTATCTGATCAACACAACACCTTGATCGATGATGTCTCAATGTGTCCCATCGCTCAATTTGCTTCACTTGGCCCGACCTATGAGAGCAAGACAGAGTTGAAGTCGAGAGCAGTGGACTTTAGTAAGAGTTGGACTGACAAACAATCTTCTATTATCAAAACGTCAACCAGATTGTTTGAGTGTACCTTGCCAAATAGTTTCCCCATGCAGTTTAGAACAGTCGACTATCATTTGGGAGAGTGCTGCCTGAATGCATTACGGGTTACGACTGTGGACCAGAAAATATTGATGGAGAATTTATTAATTTTTTAATTGCAGTTCAGAGACCGTGTCTGTCTGTGTTTTGAGCGATCTAGTATTATCGCCGTACTGACTGCAGTGTTTTCCGATGGTGTTGTCTAGTGTTGTTTTCATGTATAGGAGCACAGGTCGGATGTTACCATGACGGCAATCGTACCAAGTTCTTCTGCCAGTGTCCGAGCGGCGAACGATACTATGGCCGCGACCTTGGGTGCAAAGCGGCGAGCACCTGCAACCACACCGCTCAAGACCTGTACACAGAATGTTCCGCCCACCCAACCTGCACACTGATCTCCCTCACCTTGGGCTACAGCTGCGTCTGCCAAGCAGGGTTTAGCGTTTCCAAGTATGGGTCCACCTGCGAGCAACTCAATGAATGCCGCAACTCTACGTTATGTGCAATGAATGAAGTTTGTGAAGATACGTACGGAAGCTACAATTGCAAATGCAAACAAGGATACTTCAGTGAGTAAACACATACATGTACATAAGTATTGACCAAGGCGTGCTGAGAACACATTACGTACTCTAGTTTCAGAAATTTTCAGTGCTCAATATTTTCGGTATGATGGCAACAGGCCAGGTTAGGTAAACAGAAATTTTCGGTACAGAGAAGCTGTTCCCTAGTATTGGATTATGTGTGTTAGCATTTGTTCGGTGTATTGAAATTTTAGGTATGAAACAGATGCACCGAAAGTACCGAAAATAAAAGTGCACCGAAAATTTGTGAAATTACAGTATCTAGCTAATTCATGGCAAAGTAGTTATGAGACCAAATCTCCCATGATAACTTCATTATAATCATCCACCGGTTTGAATTTTACTTTTTTGTCTAAGAAAGCCAAGAGGACTTTGGAGCTGCAGCGTAGCAGACACTTCAGAAATATAACAATGAAAGTCATAATAATGGCAGGGTGTGCTGCAAACCTTCATAATACATGTACTTTGTTTTATAGGCCGGTGTAGTTTTCTTGCAATGGCTCCTTTCAAGTTTCAGCATTGTGGGGTGTTACTGGCTATAAGGCACATCATCACGCAGTCGTTCTGGCCAAGCACAGCCTTGTGCGATCGTACTTATTATTATTATTATTATTATTATTATTATTATTATTCAAAGGATCAGTCGGGGAAGTGAATTGCCTGAAAAGAGAAAAAACGCCAGACCCACCAGGACTCGAACCTGGGACCCTGCTTGTCATGAGCAATGCTCTAACCACTGAGCTATGGGACCAGGCTGAACCCAGAAGGCGCTGACGAGTCTTTCACTCCAAAGGCAGCTCACAACACGTGCCACACATACTGATGGCACTTGGGTCTTTTTCCCTCCCCCAGGGGACCAACCACGCTCAGTTTCTGGAAACTACCAGAGGTGAAAGAAAGTGATTAAATTTGGAAAGGATTGGGAGAACTTCAAATTCAAAGGATCAGTTGGAGTGAAAGACTTGTCAGCGCCTTCTGGGTTCAGCCTGGTCCTATAGCTCAGTGGTTAGAGCATTGCTCATGACAAGCAGGGTCCCAGGTTCGAGTCCTGGTGGGTCTGGCGTTTTTTTCTCTTTTCAGGCAGTTCACTTCCCCGACTGATCCTTTGAATTTGAAGTTCTCCCAGTCCTTTCCAAATTATTATTATTATTATTTAAATCTAGGATGTTGAGCCAATAATAAATGTGGAAAGGAAAAGGACATCTGGATGCGAGTTAAGAGTAACTATCCAGCACTGCAGCTAGATACTAATTGTATATACAGTCAGAAAGTGCAACAGAAAGTGCAACAACTAGGGACAGAGCTGACAGAGTGCTGAGATATTCTACGTCCTGGCACCGAGCTTCAACACATCTCCGTAACGCTAACCAGAGGGGAAGGTAAGCACAATGAAAACCAGCTCAAGCTACTACTCCACCGGAACAAAGAATGTTGATTGTCAGTGGACAATGACGAGACCAGTAAGATATTTGACAAAGCAGTCTACCTACAGTTATCAACTACAGTTACTCTTTAAAACTCGTATCCATATGTCATTTTCCTGTCTACATTATTATTGGAAGAGTGCGTTGCTCCCTACATGGGAGCTCGCGGTTTTCCTGCTGATTTGAATTCTCACTTGCCGGACTCACGACTGCCATCCAGAGCACACGAGAAGTCCATCGAACCGTCCACTCGGCAAACCTGCAAGAAAGCGCCACTCCCTGCTCAATATACAGTGTTTCGGGGAATTCAACCCTCATCAGTTGAGCTTCAGTAGGCTGAGGAAGATTGTGCCTGAAGAGCACCACTTATATAGTACTCTCCAGGCACAAACATCACCAGGGATACACACTTGCAGAGACGCTCCGTTTCCAGCGCGACAAACACCTCGTGAACACCAGATAGCAGCGTGAGTCAGTGTCGCTCATGGAGGTGCTGAACAAGTGCTGAGGACCGTTAGCCAATCGCAACGTTGTTTCCTTCAAACCTTCTAATTCGCAAGCCCGCACTGGGGACAACAATGTGAAGAAGAGGTTGGTAGAGGTTGTGAATGGCCAACGGTCCTCAGCGCTTCTTCAGCAACTCCATGAGCGACACTGACTCACGCTGCTATCTGGTGTTCACGCGGTGTTTGTCGAGCTGAAAACGGAGCGTCTCTGTAAGTTTGTATCCCTGGTGATGTTTGTGCCTGGAGAGCACTATAGTATAAGTGGTGATCTTCAGGCACAATCTTCCTCAGCCTACTCAAGCTCAACTGATGAGGGGTGAACTCCCCGAAACACTGTGTATTGAGCAGGGAGTGGTGCTTTCTTGCAGGTTTGCCGAGTGGACGGTTCGATGGACTTCTTGTGTGCTCTGGATGGCAGTCGTGAGTCAGTCAAGTGAGAATTCGAGTCAGCAGGAAAACCACGAGCTCCCATGTAGGGAGCAACACACTCTTCCCTACTATCGCCAAAGTCGCACCAACATCTTTTTTACATTATTATCATTATTATTTTTATTTTTATATATGGTGGAACCACTCCTTGCACGCGTCACGGGCTGTCCGCCTTCTCCGTAAAAAAAAAATAAAAAATGCGGGAAAAATACCTTAAAAAGCAATGAGAGCGTAAAACACTTTACACTCGGTAACAAAAATCCATTCAGCTCCCACACACTACTGTTCCTGATCCGGATCAAACCACAGTCCCAGCTTGAGCAACTGCCGATGGTAAAGAAGCAGAGACAAGGCGGTGGCAGGGGATCAGTCGGCGGTTGGCAGTTGATCGGTCGGCAGTGGCAGTGGATATGTACTTATTATGCACAACAGCATTCTGTGCAAGCAGCAGATGCCGACTACTTGGCTGCTCACTTCAAACTGTCCAGGATGACTGCAGCTCTAACGGTGCTAACTTTTGGTTGTGTAACTCTACTTCTAGGATTACACGGAGGTTGCAATAACGTCAACGAATGTGCTGTTAATGTCTCCACACTATGCGCAAAGAACGAAGTATGCATAGACACACCGGGATCGTTCAAGTGTCAATGTTCAACTGGATTTTCCGGTAAGGGCTCTCCTTGAAATTATTTTATTTAATGGATCCTGCACAGAGGTTGAGTTATGTGATTGTGCACACTGCAGTTTGAGGAATGTACTCAAAATAATGTTCGATATCCGCTGGCTACATTGGTCATTCTGGATCACGGATCGTTGAAATCACTTCATATCCGCCGTTGCAGATATCGAAATCAAGCAACAAGTACCACAGTATTTATTCGGTTTTGTAGCACCATATGCTCGGTGCTCATTTCCCAAGTCCATTCAGCACTTGCGAATTTGTGGGGCGGTTTACCACCGCTGACATTGACGCGTAAGTCCATAATAATAACAATACCATAATCTTTTTTTGTAGAAAGACCAACTTTTATTGAAATGGAAACCAGAAGAATTTTGGGAAGGTTTCAAGATCAGACTTGTACACTCTTGTTTATGTCAAAGTAGCGGAAGCACTTTGTGCATCCTTTTACCAATATTGTCCTGTGTCTTTCTTCCATTCCTTACCAGAAACAAAGGGACTATGTGTGGACAACAATGAATGTAACTCAACAACCAGTAGCAGTGCTGTCACATGTCCACAGAATTCAACTTGCAGAAATACAATTGGGTCGTATGAGTGTAGGTGTGATGCTGGCTTCCAGGATATTCTACAACCCACATCACCAACATCTCCTAGTTGTGAAAACATTGATGAATGCTGTAATGGCCAGTCTACATGCTCTGCTGTTATGCTATGCAATGATACCGTGGGATCATATCAATGTCTGTGCAAAATGGGATTCATCTGGCAAGGTATGTTGGTTATTGCTCTACCAGTGTTATTGATAATAGTGATAACAAGAGTGCATAAACAAGAGTGTGGGACTCCACTTGATTTGGCCCATGGCAGAATTTTATTGTTGATGCCACCTAAAGCCTAGTTCACATTCGACGAGACGGGACATGGCGTAAGGATCGACGGGAAGCAACGGGACAGTCTGACGGCGTCCATTGTGAAAACCAGGAACGGGAACGCATCCGTACTGCCGTACAGATTGGGAAGAGACGGGAAGAGTTGGAACAGTTCAACTTTTCAAACCGTAGACGGGGACGCAAGTGTACAAAACAACTGCATTTTTAATGTGAACAGGAAACGGCGTCTTCCACCGACTTTTCCCGATTCGTACTTGAAAATCTTTAGCATTTTAAACACTGCGCTTCCCATAATAACTCGCAGAATGGCTAACACGACTTGAGTTGAATTTTAGCAAGATAAGGTCTGCTGTCACATATGGTATTTTGGGATAGTTCAGGAACATTACAGACGAACTGTTTTATCATTTCCTGGAGCTATTATTTGAATGCCACACCTTTCGAAGCTACTACTTTGGTCTTCATGAAAACTGGTATTGTGAACTTGATTCCGCTTCATTCAAGGAGAAATAATTGAAAAGAAGTCCCGAATAACAAGAAATTAGGTCCAAAGGTCACCCTGTCACATACCGTGCCGTATGACTCGCGCCGTTCACTGTTGTACGACGCAGCGACTGCAACGTGTCGTGTCGTAGGAATCGTAAAAAAGAAAGAAAAAGAAGAAGACGATTTTACAGCTTTCCCCAGCCTTCCCGACAGGCCCTTACCGTCAGCGTTCCATCCAATGTGAACTAAGCTGAAGCCTGGTTCATATTTGACTCAACGCTGATGGTACGGGACGTAAAGATGTGTCGCGATGGCTGGGGTGAGCTGTAAAATCCTGTTTGATTTGTACGGCACGATATGCAGCAGTTGATGCGATGTTGAACAACGTCAACATTAATGGTGCTAGTTTTAAGGCATGGTCCCTAATGGGATGACTTTCGGGCCCAATTTCTTGTTTTTGGGGACTTCTTTTCAAGGGATTCTCCTTGAATGAAGTGGAATAGTTTACAATACCAGTTTTTCATGGAGACCAAAAGGTAGTCCTAAAACTTGTGTCACATTCTAATAATAGCCCCAGGAAATGATAAAAACAGTCAGTCTGTCATGCCCTCTGGATAGCCCTTTCCCAAAGATGCTCGCCACTTTTTCGCAACTTTTCTTAATTTTGGAGGAAATCGCAACTTTTGCAACTTTCTTCATTTTTGCGAACTATTTCTCAACTATTCCGCAACCTTGGCCCCATGACATGGGGTCAAAAGGTCAAGCCACGAACTACATGTCGGACAAATTGCATACTCGCTCATTTCCCGCCTGCCTTCAGACCCATTTCAGAGAAACTGTTGATCAACGATAGCTACAATAATGTGCATTCCCTTTTCCATGCACTGGAATGATGTAGGATACATGCAAACGTCTACTAGGACTGTGTAAAGTGGTGGCTCACAACAGGAAGGGGTGTACGAGTTTGCTGTCACTGCGCTTCTGCTGTTTCTGCTCCTTTTTTGTAGGTTTTGCACAAGGACTCTCCAATTTTAAGTTGCGATATTAGCAACTTTTGAGCTTTGTTTTAAAATATGGATGTGATTTCAGCAACTAGCACTTGTTTTGGCATGGTTGCGAAAAGCATAAAGTAAATTAAAGTAAATTATCGTATCCGTTCCCGAAGGGAACTCACGACGGCCGCTAACACCCGATAAACCCTAGCGAAAAGCATAAGTTGCGAAAATTATGGCATCTTTGGGAAGGGCTACCCCTGGACGATCCCTAAATACAGGAAGTGAGATGAAATATTATCTTGCTAAAGTTCAACTCAAGTCATGTTAGCCCTTCTGTGAGTTATTATGGGAAGCGTAGTGTTCGAATTGTAAAATTCACAACGGGAGTAGTCGGCGCACGACGCCTGTTCACACTAGAATTGCAGCCGTTTTGTGCGCTTGCGTCCACGTCTACGGTACCGGTATGAAAAATTGAATCAATTCAACTCTTCCCGTCGCTTCCCGATCTGTACGGTAGTATGGTTGCATTCCCATTTTCCTGATGTTTAGGTTGTACGCCATCAGACGGTCCTGTCGCTTCCCGTCGATCCTTAAGCCGTCGCCCGTCGTGCCCCGTCGAATAAGAACTAGGCTTTAACTGGAGATCATGAGGCAGACCGTACGACGCATATTATTTTGCTCACTGAGCAATACAATCTTTCCATTTTCTTTCTTCTTTTTTTTCTTTTTCAATTTAATGCTCCCTACCCAATATCCCTTTGGTGCGTCCATGGAGCTATGACACCGAGACCTCTGGCCGGCGGAGCTTAATGGGCCCCACCACCACACTCCATTATTCACCCCAGTGTCTGGAGGTATGTGGATTTTGTAGGAAAATAGAAAAAAGAAAAGAAAAAAGAAACGCGAGCCTGTGGCAACGGGAACTCAGCAGGGTACCGTTCAAACTTCTACTACCAGTATGGTAAAAGGGTGAAGAGGCCAGAGAAAGGCTAGGCGTTTAGCTTTATTAGTACAATGCAGCAAAAACAAAAACCCGCAATGCAGGTTGTGGCTAGCACATTCTTTATGCATACTATATGCGTTCTGAAAACGTTGACAACAACAAAACATGCATGAATCCGTGAACCAGACCAGCTGCGGAGTTATAGTTTATTGTTGAAGTAGCAAAAGCACTTTGTTTATCTATGGACCATTACTGTCTTGTATCTTTCTTCCATTCCTTACCAGAAACAACAGGGCTATGTGTGGACACCAATGAATGTAACTCAACAACCAGTAGCACTGCTGTCACATGTCCACAGAACTCAACCTGCTTAAATACGATCGGGTCGTATGAGTGTGGGTGTGATGCTGGCTTCCAGGATATTCTACAACCCACATCGCCAACATCTCCTCGTTGTGAAAACATTGATGAATGCTGTAATGGCCAGGCTGACTGCTCTGCTGATATGCTATGCAATGATACCGTGGGATCATATCAATGTCTGTGCAGAATGGGATTCCGCTGGCAAGGTATGTTGGTGACAATAGGGAGGTTGCAGAGTACGGTTTTTCGTGCTAAAATCCGTAGGGGCTCTACGGATTTTTTATACGTCATTTTCGAGCAGTGAAATGTTCCGGAGTACAGAACTAATGTGTTTGCCGTCGTTGCCTAGGTTACGATCGCAAACATGTCACATTCTCGCGCTGTGCCTTATTATTTTGAAAATTTGTACCGAAATCAAAACTTCCCGCAGAAAATCGATGTTTCTCGTACCAAATTTGTACGCGAAAAATCTTTCTGCACTCAATGACGCAAGATCCAAATACGAAACATGGTTTGTATGAAAGCCAGTCCACACGGATTCTCCGTGCCGAAAAATCGCCTGGAAAAAATCCGTACCGCCCATACGGATTTTTGCACGGAAATCCTACCACGGAGCCTCTCTTTCATCGACTCTAAACATGCTGGATCAAGGAAAATTCTAATCCTAATACACTGTACACATCCACGGCTCTGACACATTGTGTGCTTCCAGACAGGTTGAGATCTATCTTGAGCTGCAATGCTGGAAGCTAGCCTAAACGCCCATAGTTCAGGATAATACCAAGAGTCCATAACCCCCCAGAGTGTGCAACTCGTGATCCTTCTCAGCACAAATCAGTGCCGCAACGAAATCCAAACTTCATACGTCATGTAGTGAGTAGCTATGACGAAATGGGAAGTTTGGCCCGGACCTACTTCGCCCGTTTGCCCAATTTGGGGTCTTTCTTTACGAATCCACGGCCAGGTATTGTACGTAACACGCCTGGAAAGGTTCAAGTTCACAAAGAATTGTTTTAGAGTTGTCGAACAATTTTCTCTTTTGAGTGGCTCTCCGATAAGAGAAGAACAATGGCCACTGTTGAACCTAAAGCAAAGCGCTCCCCATTGTCGCCGGAGTGCAGTGTGCAGTGCCAAAATGGGACTGAGGAGCAGGTTGAAGCACATCTACTTCGAAATCGATCGGGTCTTCATGCCGTGTGCCAAGAGCTATTTCCATCAAATCTTGTAAATCTATATCCATACCTATTCTTGCTATCCCGGAGTCACGAACTCTCCCAATACAAGCTTTTCAGACAACGAGCAGAGAAACTCTCTTCAAATAAAAAAATTCTGTGACTGTGAAATCAAAGCCGTTCTGCTGACACTGCATAGCCCGTGGACCAAACGTTTTACGTGACACTTCCGTGGCTTGCTTCAAAGCAATCTTCAACTTGGAACCCCCGCCGGATGTACCAGATATGCACATGGCCCCATCCGCCCATGCTTGCCCGGGGACCGGATGACACAATGTTTGGATTTCGTTGCGCCAGACCCCAACCTGGAGTTGCACACTCTGGGGGGTTATGGACTCTTGATAATACTCAATCTGCGTTTAATTTTTGTTTCTTTCTTGTAAAAGAAGAAATGAGTTCAGGATGATAGATGGGCAAAGACCATTTTCGACCTTCTGCTCAGTATTTTAACTGACCGTAACTTTGACGGCAAATTCAACGCATGCATTGTCCTGGGTGTGGAGTGCAGTTACGTAACCGTTGTAAACAATATGGCAGGTTGAATCTATCTCCTTGAGGGAGTTGAAAAGGAGAAATCTTTAAACAAAACAGATGACCTTCATGCTGAGGCTTCATCACCAAGAAACGGAAACCGAGAAATGTACTTCGAAGTAGTGCTGTCGAGTTTCACATTTCCATTTCATGTACTTCCCAAATGAGTATTGTCTTCTAGCTGCCGTTTGTACAATTTGTGCCCCAAGCATGCATTATTTATTGCTGGTAATCGTTGTTCATGCTTAACCTCAGATCGGCTTGCACGGTGCAATGATTTGGATGAATGTAGCGCAAGCAGCAGCATTGAACTGTGCCCGCGTAACTCAGCGTGTCGCAACTTGGTTGGATCTTACTATTGCCAATGTCAATCGGGTTACCAGGACATGCGAACTCGAACTGAGAGCTGCTCACCATCCGCGTCCCTCTTGTGTGAAAATGTCAACGAATGCCATGGTGGAAGTGTGATGTGCGGTTTAAACGAGCAGTGCAATGATACAGAAGGAAGCTATCGATGCGTTTGCAAGGCGGGATTTTCCCTTCAAGGTAAGATACAATCGTAGTTTAAAACTGCTTCGCTAATTCACTATTGTCACTACTGTTGACAAAACAAATTGCACGGGTTCGCGTACAGGGCGGGTCAAGAACCACCTTTCCGCTTCCGTGGGACCCACCCATACAGGTTTTTTTATAGCACTAGGTGTTTTATACAGGTTTTTTACAGCACCAGGTTTTTATATGAGTGATTACCAGAAATATTACCCACTTTTTAGAACACGCAAATGACTGGAGGTTTTTTATACTATAATTTGAGTTCATATAATTATTTCATATTACTCCTTCCTATAATCGGTAAACTGATCGAACTACAAGACTGTGCCATGAGAGTGCCTTGGAAAAGAACTGTTTAGCAAGAGCAGCAAGCAACTGCAAGGACGTGCAGCTGCACTGACAACAACTGTAGGCAAGGGGCAGTTTCTTCAAATTTCTTTCCTGAATATCAATAAAGGTACTTCCTTTCTTCCTTGAAACCGACACTAACAGTCCGTGACTGTCAATGATTATGCTGTCCCCCCTAGGCGAAGATGACGTATGTGAAAATATCAATGAGTGTCAAACCTCTGCTGAGAATCCCTGTACGACCACATCGAGGTGCATTGACACCGATGGATCATATGTGTGCGTGCCAACTTGGCGTGGAGAAGCTCTCTTTCCATCATCCAGCACAGCAAGTGAGTCTATCATGGCTTTGACCGAAAGGCACTCACCCCCCCCCCCCCCCCATGGCAACTTCCCGATGTCTATTGGGGGTTAGACCCCCAAGACGAAGTGAGTACTGAAGTACACAGAGACAGACACACAATAATAATAATAATAATAATATCTTTATTAGGATGACCCAGAGGCTTGTCGCCATGAAAACCTTGGGCAAATTCTGTTGTCAACGGAATTTTCCCAAGGTTTTCAATGGCATACAGTAACACACATACCCCACACACCATGACACTCCTCCCCCATACACACACGCACACGCGCACACACACACACATACACATAATATTCACCTACACACACACAAACACACACACACGCACACATATTCGCACACTTGCACATGCATTCACAAATATTCACGCACATTCACACACATTCACACATTCGCCTAATACTTTGGTGGACAGTTGGTCATAACTCCTAAAACGAAGTACTTCCTTTTTACTATTATCCATAATTACACTGACTCAACATCCGAGTTCAAATTTACCTTTAACCTTCAGTTTGACAGCATTAAATCAACTTGGGGTGATACTGGAGGCCCCTCGCGGATAATAGTGGCAGACTAATTGGCAGAATTTGGTACCTTTTCTGGTATGCTCAATGCATATCTGGAATGGGGATACAGAAATGGAGGCGATTTCAAGGAAGTGCCTGCTGCAAGGTTTGCATAGCTCTCCAAATTTCACTGGCTTTCGAGCAGATTCAGACAATTTTGCGAGCATTATCCGCCAAGCGCTAGATGACAGGCGAGAAGAGCATACCAGCAATCTATATTTTTGGGAAGTGGTGCAGTTTTTGTTTGCAGTTGTGAATAAGTAACCTTTCTTCTTTCTATTCAGGTGACGGCACTAAAAGTGTCATGACAGCCGTTCAATTCGCCACACTAGCCGTGGGAGCCATACTGTTCGCTTGTGCCATCGCGATCCTTCTAGTGGTCAGCAAGTTGAGAAAACAGCAACAGCGCGACGGGCGGATGCAATCAGAAAATGCGAGGCGCGATCACGAGATGCAGGAAGTTATCCATCACCCCAAGCCTGAGTTTGCAAGCCATGCACAGCCAGGCAATACTCAAGCTGAATCTTCTTTATCAAATTCCAACACTGAACTCACCCATGCTCCTCATGTCCACAGTCCACGGCATGGGTTCACCAACACAAAATCTCAGCAGGCGCGATACGAGGACACCTCCCGGCCATGTGGCTTGATACAGAACGAGGCATACGGCATCCACGCGAACACAGGCATCCCACACGGTGGTGAACATAACCCACATCAGGAGTCCATGATGAGTTCTCCTAGCATCGACGAACCGGAGTACGAATCGACCACCTAGACGGTGAGCACATAAAGCACTCACATTGCATTCTCTAGTAAGTCAAGTATTTTACAACTCCCTGTCTCTCCTCTTCTCTCCGTATATCGCTCTGTTTTTCTCCGTCGCTCTCTGTCTCTGTCTCTCTCGCTGTCTCTGTCCGTCTGTCTGTCTGTCTACCTTTATGTCTGTCTGCCTGCTTGCCTGCCTGCCTGCCTGCCTGCCTGCCTGCCTGCCTGCCTGCCTGCCTGCCTGCCTGCCTGCCTGCCTGCCTGCCTGCCTGCCTGCCTGCCTGCCTGCCTGCCTGCCTACCTGCCTGCCTGCATGCCTGCCTGTCTGCCTGGCTGTCTGTATGTCTGTCTATCTTTCTGCCTGCCTGCCTGCCTGCCTGCCTGCCTGCCTGCCTGCCTGCCTGCCTGCCTGCCTGCCTGCCTGCCTGCCTGCCTGCCTGCCTGCCTGCCTGCCTACCTGCCTGCCTGCATGCCTGCCTGTCTGCCTGGCTGTCTGTATGTCTGTCTATCTTTCTGCCTGCCTGCCTGCCTGCCTGCCTGCCTGCCTGCCTGCCTGCCTACCGGTCTGTCTGTCTGTCTGTCTGTCTGTCTGTCTGTCTGTCTGTCTGTCTGTCTGTCTGTCTGTCTGTCTGTCTGTCTGTCTGTCTGTCTGTCTGTCTGTCTGTCTGTCTGTCTGTCTGTCTGTCTGTCTGTCTGTCTGTCTGTCTGTCTGTCTGTCTGTCTGTCTGTCTGTCTGTCTGTCTGTCTGTCTGTCTGTCTGTCTGTCTGTCTGTCTGTCTGTCTGTCTGTCTGTCTGTCTGTCTGTCTGTCTGTCTGTCTATCTGTCTTTCTCTCTCTCTCTATCTCAATCTCTCTCTCTCTTTCTCTTTCTTTCTCCCTGAATCTTTGGCTCTCTTCCTCAACACTAAGCCAATTCGATCTCTCAAATTGCTTCCTGGACGTCGCAATTACTTAGTTATAGACTTTTTTTATTCAATATAATTGTGGTGTTTGATGCTTGATCCTGGCGCTAAATCGGAGGCCCAAGGTCGGACGAGTTGGGCTGCCGCTGAGCTATCACGTCTCCTCTTTGTTCTGTCTTTTCATTACGCCCTCTACTGGACTGTGCACTTCAGTGTAAAGCCTGTTTTTAACAATGCAATGGAACTGCACTCTTTGTTGCTTACTCTGCTTGGCTTGCGCTGCCCGCTACTACGCGCAATGCCAGTACCCTGGACGCATTTAAATCTGCTCACTAGATTCACCATCACCTGTCCCTCCCATGCTTCTCCGTCTTGACCATTACTTTTCTCCTTTTCTTCTTTTATTCACCATGGTTGGTTAACACCCACATCTCCCGTACTGGCTGATTTTCTTCTCATGCCATGAGGTGTTGTCTATAATAATAATAATCCCATCTGCAGGGCTACACTATAGGCACATCGTTGGCTCAAGTCTCCAGTTCGATAGTGTACAACTTTCTCTGCTGCAATCTGTATTAAGCTGATTGCGTACAGTCACATTCTGTTTTTTCTGCTTTCCCCCAATTCGAGTTTCATCACATGCATTCTCCAAGCATAACAATACATGTTTGTGCTGGAGCGCTTTCCGTTTCCCACTTTTTGTAAATCTCTGTGCATGGAGGATTTTGCTGTTTCCGTGTTCCACTACTTTTGATCATCCTTTGGGGTGACTACGCTTCTTCTTTCAATTGCAATTGAATGCTTTGATCGCGTCTAAGAAAAGTCCTCAAGTGTATTGGCCGGGGAGTTGTATGGACCCTTGTGTTGACCATCGTCCGGACTTGCACACACTAAGATGAGTCCCATGTGGACTGAGCCGAGCGCAGGGTGACTGAACTATTGGGGTGAAATGAATCCACTCAGAGTTGGAGTTTCATGCACGGCTACAGTTAGGACATACTAGTATTACATGATAGGTGTGTTGGGGGGGGGGGAGGGGGGAGGGGGGGGGGGGACATTCTCAGTTAGTGTTCGTGAAGAGAGGGAACACGGAGGCCAGTTTTGGATTTGCGAAAGAAACCCAGGGAGATCGATCAGTTACGGATGCGGGAGAAGCGAAAGCGTCGTCGTCAAATACCCGACAAATTGGCAGATTCTGGTCGAAAACCAGTGAATTTCAAGGGCAGAACCATACAAACATTACGGCAGGCGCTTCCTTGAATTCTGCTCTATTTCTATATCCCCGTAACAAACACGCATGAAACACACCAGGATAGGTACAGAATTATGCCAATATTTCTGCTAACATTAACCGCCAAGTGCTAGAGTGACTCTATTCCCCCCCCCCCCCCCCCCATCGCATCAAAGGTTATAAGAATCATTATGATATAACTAGTGGTGAAACGAATATTGGAATATTCGAACATTCGTTCGGTTTGTCACATTCGAATATTCTTTTAAGTCAAATTTGATGCTTCGTGACGTCACTTCGAATGCAGTGCATGTACTAGTACATACATGCACACAGTACTCGTACAGTGCAGTGCGTACAGCCTGCCTGTGACTTTGTACAGCATGTTTTGCACAGCTACAATCGTTGTTGTAATGGGGTCGTTCTCGGCACTTGTGCCAGTGGTTGTGAGACTTATCCACTCACCCCCACCGTTAGGCGCTGCATCTGCCGCTAGGGTTTACCGGGTGTTAGCGGCCGTCGTGAGTTCTCTTCGGGAACGGACACAATTTTTTAATTATTTTTTTACTTTTGCACATGTATGTGCATACTGGATTGCCAATATTGCACATAAGGCCATGGTAAAAAATATAGTTGATTCTCAGGCCATGAGCCTGTGAAAATCGGTGCGAGCGAGCAATTTTTTATTTTATTTCCTCAATTTTTTATATTTCCAAAGATAGGGTCACACATAATATGTACATGGTCACATGTTATTATATTCAGGCCAGTGAGTAGAAAAATACCGGTATTTTACTACTCCCTGATTCATGCCTTTCGCATTGACCGTTTTTATGCGCGCATATGCATGCATAGAAATTTTAAAAAATCGTCGGCGCGCAGCCAAAAATCGGTGCGCGCGTACTTGAGAATCAAAAATATAATTTTACCATGGCCTAACATGTATGAACTGTACTGTTGAGATACCGAATTCAAATAAATCAATACCAATACCAACTTCGAAGTAGCCTTATGTGGTCGTGCATTTTATGTGGCACTACCGTTTAACGTTTGTCATACCTAATAATAATGACAATATCCATCAAATGACTGAGAGGAAGGCATGTGATGCCATCTGTGCTACCAAAAGAATGCTTGTTCGTTCGTTGGCTAAGCCAAAGAATAATTGGCTACTACAGGTATTGACATTCGTTTCACCACTAGATATAACTGGTGTCCGCCACTCTGGCAGTCAGAAAGATTACTGTCCACCGGTGCACTACTAGTCGTGTCCACTCAGATTGTAATTCTGCACAAAGCAGGGGTAAGTGGATTATGCTCGGAAAATGACCAGATTATGCTCTAGCGGATGCTCGCAGTATGCTCGAAAAAAAAAGCCAATTATGCTTGTATGTGCCTCATCAAAAAGACCAAAAAGAGCAGATAATCGTCATAAAAAGGGGCTCGGATCATTGTCATGATGTGGACTGGGAGCTTTGTGGAAGTACAAGACAATAATGATAATGCAAGATGAATACCAAATTCACAAGCAAACGCTGAACCTTGGGAAGATGTCCTATAGTGGCTGCTAAAATATCATTCCAAATCGACAAAAAGCGCTATGTATGGTCCTGCAATAGCAAGTTTGTATATGAACAGCCTCATTGGGCATCTTCCCTTGTTTTTCGGATGTCATTTTATGCTCCTTCTCAAAAAGGCCTGATTCGGCCAAAATCTATGCCGGCACAATCCGCTTACCCCTAGCACAAAGACGTAAGTCGTTTGTAATTCGTTGATGCCATCTTCATTCAGTCCGTCCATTCATATCATAGTCTAGTAGAAACTAGTCATGTACATAAATCATCGCACTGTAATAGTTCCTTCTATGGAGCAGGCCTGAGACGGGGACCACACGATGCTGGCAGAAACCAGCACGAACACGGAACTGCAGTTCACCAGCCAGACTTCACAATAAAGCAAGTGTTACTCCTGATAGGACCTGGGCCGTTTCCGTAAGAATCAATCGATTATGTGACATCAGATGAAAGAAACCAATCATTGTAGAACTAAAGCAGTCGTTGGATGAAAGGGTGGAGCTAAGTGCTGTTTTATGGTTATGGACCCTAAACTATGCGTTACACAGAGTACTCGAGTACTAGCGAGGTGAGAAAGCTGGGTGAAAAGTAGAAGCTATTAAAGTGACAGAAGTGTATGTTGTTCCCTACTTGGGAGCTAGCACTTTTCCTGCCGACTTGAATTCTCACTTGACTGACTCACGACTGCCATCCAGAGCACACGAGAAGTCCATCGAACCGTCCACTCAGCAAACCTGCAAGAAAGCACCACTTCGTGCTCAATACACAGTGTTTCGGGGAGTTCACCCCTCGTCAGTTGAGCTTGAGTAGGCTGAGGAAGATTGTGCCTGAAAGCACTACTTATATACTGCTCTTCAGGCTAAACCATCACCAAGGATACAAACTTACAGTCTGTTGGCCTGCCTGCCCGTCGCTCTCCCTGTTTCTCTGACAACCTGCTTGTTAATCCGTGCGGTTTTGTTTTCAGACGTAAAGCCCTGTTGTAGAGGTCTCAGCCCTCATTTGTTAGTCTCTCTGTCTCTGTCTCTGTCTCTCTCTCGCTCTCGATCTCTCTCTCTCTCTCTCTCGGATCTCTCTCTCTCTCTCTCTTTCTCTCTCTCTCTCTCTCTCTCTCTCTCTCTCTCTCTCTCTCTCTCTCTCTCTCTCTTTCTCTCTCCCTCTCTCTCCCTCTCTCTCTATTTTTGGTGTACAAAAACACTCTGGCGTTGATTGCTTTCTTGCTTCGACTTCTGCCGCGCCTTTGTTCTCGTACTCCCTTTATGTACAAGTGTTATGCAAACCTTCCTTTAATATAGTCTGTCTCATTTTGCCCGGAGATGTTTTATTACTATTATTATTTGAAACTCGGATGTTGAGCCAATAATAAATGCAGAAAGGAAAAGGAAATATAGATACGAGTTGAGAGTAACTCGCCATCACTGTAACCGGATACTATATACAGTCAGAAAGTGCAACAACTAGGCACAAAACTGACAGAGTACTGAGACATTCGAACTCTTGCTGTTCTTGATCTACACCATTGACCTGCCCTCTGCCTGCACCAACTCGAACACAAAGTGCAGCCAATTTGCAGATGACACGGCGCTCATCGCAACACACCAGAGCCGTTTGACATCGGAGTTGTCCCTGCAGTCAGCCGTTTCAGCTGCCGCAACCTGGCTGCGCAGATGGCACCTCCTCGTCAATGCCTCAAAGACCGTTACCTTGTCGTTCACACCAAACCACCAACTAAACATCACTCTTAATGGCACACCCCTAAAGCAAGTCAAAGAACACCGTCACCTTGGAATCATACTACAAACCAACCTCCAATGGAACTCACATGGCACGCACATAATAAACAAATCCAAAAAACTCCTTCACCAACTTCGTAAAACACGAGGCCAACTTAACACCCCCAGTCTGCTCGTAATCTACACCGCCTACATTCGCCCGGTTATAGAGTACGGCAGTCTCGTGTTATCCAACACCACCCGCACACAGAAGGACCAATTAGAACGCGTTCAGCGACGAGCAGCCCGTATCTGCCTGCGGATCCCCCTTTTTGCACCAGTCCATCACAGCTCACTTCTTCATCATCTCCAACTCCCCACATTAGTCTCCCGGCAACTCTTACGACAGGTTACTCTTGCCCACAACATCAAGTACATCCGCGCTCCCCTTCACCTGCAACAGCCTCACCTTGCACGACCAATCACAGAGCAGCCATATGCACTACGACACATGAGAACATACACATTGAGAACATCACACACATACCGACACACCAACTCACCCATCAACCTATCCCTTCACAATTTCAACCAACTACCCCCCGACCTGCGTGAAACAAATAGCAAGCATGCGTTTAAATCAATGGCGTCTAGCCTCATTCTATCACCCATATGCTCCTGTAGTAGCTCACACTGTACCCCATCGTGACCCCATCCCCCTGCAATGTGTTGGTTTCCTTACTTGCTAGACTGATTTTATATGATTCTGGACTGATTTGAATCATATTATCTTCCTTATTGGCCATGGGCCATCGTGGAAATAAAGAATAATAATAATTCGACGTCCTGACACCTAGCTTCAACACATCTCCGTAGCGCTAACCGAGTTTTGTGCCTAGTTGTTGCACTTTCTGACTGTATATAGTATCTGGTTACAGTGATGGAGAGTAACTCTCAACTCGTATCTATATTTCCTTTTCCTTTCTACATTTATTATTGGCTCAACATCCGAGTTTCAAATTGCACACCTGATGAGCCGTCACGAACCATACGGCAAAACGTACGTCGTGTGAAACAATTTGTTTTGTAGTCAACTAGTTCATCACTATGTCATGCATGAGGAGTACTGTAGGAGTTTGGCTTTCGGCTTGTACAATTCGTTTTCGCAAAGCTTCCCCTTCTTTACTTATCTTTGATATTTATGACCCACCCAAGTTGGGTGGTGTGCTGCTTGGCTGGTTCGAATTGTAGTTAGACCGCTTTGTCAAATATCCTACTGGTCTCGTCATAGTCCAGTTACAATCGACATTCTTTGTTCGTTGGGACTGT